TATAGGGTCTCGGGAAACTCACAACCTGCTATGACCCCGCGGCGCAAGCGCCTTGGGGTCATAGCAGGTTGTGAGTTTCCCTTGACCCTATAGAAACCACTATGCCTCTCAAAGCAGTCAATATATCCTTAATATAAACCAGGATATATATCAGGCCTGATAATTACCCGATTTAGATCGGTTTCCCATATTTTTTGTCTTCTTCCTGATTTTACCCCTATTTTCCTGATTTTCCCCTTATTTCCCTATTTTCCCCCCAATTTTCTTACTCAAAGGGGGGGTAATGTTTTAGATGCCTTTTTTTTTCTTCCTGAATCCCCCCTTTTTTTTACTCAAGGGGGGGGGGGGGGTCGGTTGGGGAAAAAAAATCACCTATTTTTTTTTTAGTGCTCACTATCACCCCTAATAGAGAGAGAGAGAGAGAGAGAGAAGAGAGAGAGATGGAGAGAGAGAAAGGGAAAGAAAGAGAAAGAGAAAGAGAGATAGAGAGAGAGAGAGAGAAAGGGAAAGAAAGAGAGGTACAGAGAGAGATTGAATAATGCGTGGGGAGAAGACTTGTAAACATGGTCGGTCCAATAGACCACTCAAAAAACCCAACCCTTTTTGTCTTTCTATATGCTTATATGCTTCCCAATATATCAGTACAACCACCAGTATTGACATAGAAGTAATGATCACACGATATCCCGTTACTTAAATTGAAGATTGTGGTTATACAACTTTGAAGGTTTCTTGTAGTTGGGGTACACAAATTGAGTTGAAAGTACATGTACAAACCATGACAGAGCAATAGCGTTGAAGATTGGGGGGTTCTCACTCTGTAGTTTTCTGCCATGTGGATGCTTTGAGGTTACGCAAGCTTGTAGTTCAAATAAACACTTTCCTGAGGTTTTAGTTTATTTGAAATACTTGTTGTTTGGGTCTCGTGCGACCCCTCCTCCTGGTTTGTCACTTCAAGTTTCACAAACTTAAAGTTAATAACTCAGTGTTGCCATGTGAACGTAACTATTATTTCATGTCAAAAAATACTCTCAGAGGTCCCTCAAAGAGAGCAAATCGTCGTGTTATTGGGTCATTGTTTATGACTTCAAAGTTTCACAAACTTAAAGTTAATAACTCAGTGTTACCGTTTGAACGTAACTATTATTTCATGTCAAAAAATACTCTCAGAGGTCCCTCAAAGAGAGCAAATCGTCGTGTTATTGGGTCATTGTTTATAACTTCAAAGTTTCACAAACTTAAAGTTAATAACTCAGTGTTACCGTGTGAACATACCTATTATTTCATGTCAAATAATACTCTCAGAGTCCTCTCAAAGAGAGCAAATTGTGTATACCACGTAGTCAATTTCTGCCCTCAAAGCAAGGATTATTGATACTTAAGGATTCACAGTCCTTTTGAGAGACTGCACATCGCGGCCGTGCGGGAGACTATAGATGTTTAATAAAAGTTTATTCCATCGACTCAAGGCAACACCTAGGTGGGGCAATTAAGGCTAAGAGTTTGTTCATTGACAGCGTAATCTCACAAGTAGGAACGGTTTTGTTCTTCTTTCTTTTTGTGATTGTGCACTAGACTGTAATTTCTTAAGAACCAGTTGTTTTAGCAGAATTACCATGACGATTGATAAACCACTGGGCCGATTTGTAGTGGGATTTGCTAGATCAGATACTTCTTGGCTTCTGTCATATCTGAACCTTTATATATTTTGGTGATAATCGTGGAGTTATGTGGATTGATGTGGATTAATGCAGAGTAATGTGGATTAGTGTGGATTAATGTGGATTAATGCTGGTATTTAGGCCACGGAGAGGCAACTTGATTATTCTTGTTATTTGGATGTTTGCATTATACTTGTAGCCTAGTCAAAAGTTCTGAAGTGCTTGTCAGCTGATTCAGCTTCTTCAAAAATATTGCCCTTTTGTATGTTGAACAACTTGATTTGGAATATGTATTGTATTAAAGTGAAGTAAAAGTCAATGGTCTGTGAGTAGATCCCGGTCTATATAGGTCTCTGAGTAGATCCTGGTCTATATTTGGCATCCTTGGCTTGACATTGGAGACGGGTTATTTCGTGATCTGTACCAGAGACTACAGACGAGAATGTGGGCCCTGTTTCATCAAACCTAACATCAGTAACAAGACACATCAAATGTTTAATAAGCTATTGAAATCCTGACACTTTATTGGCTATGAGCAGATTAGTCATAGGTCTGTGGCAGTTGTTAAAGATAAAAAGGTTTATGAAACAGGGTCCTTGTCCAGGGTCCTGGTCTTCTGTGAGCAGGAATGAGGAACAAGACTTGGTCCCGTGACAAAGGCCGATCAAATTCTTGTTGCGTGGCCTGGGCTTATCTTGTAAAGGGTGTAGTCATAAGACCTGGGGTTTGTTTCACAAAGACTAAGATCAACTTTAAGTTGGACTTAACTATGGCAGGCCATTCATGCCACTAGTTGCTCTCACCATTGGTCTCTCAATTATGATCTTTAGATAATATTTTCCCCTTCAATAATGAACTATCCAAAAATTTAAATTCTGTAGATTTGTGACCATGATTTGAACGTCCCTTGAGAGAATAATGCCAGGAAATGGTGAGAGCAAATAGTGGCATGAACAGCCAGCCATATTTAAGCCCAACTTAAAGTCGATCTTAGTCTTTGTGAACCACCTCCCAGGTCTTGTATGGATTAAGAGAAGGTTGAGTTATGGGAAAAAATACAGAAAAAATTCTTCTTATCAATTTGATGATTAAAAAACCTTGACGTATACACAGATACTTGTGTGCTACGTGTCCAACCTTTTCCAGGTGCTTCCACGCAGTGTTGTCTTTCGCAATGCAATTGTATGACTAGACAATCTTTCACAATAAACATTCAGCTTGACATAGTTTAGAGTCTTGTAGAACTTTAATATCCTGCTTTATGTGCAGAGTGTAACTTGATATATCCTTTAGAACTGTTTTTTTTGTCTAATGCCCAGGTACTTCGTCTTTATTAAGGAGTCTGTAGAGCGAGAAATCTTCTTTTGAGGCTTCTAAAGAATCTAGTACTTTGTCAGGTCAGGTTGGAGTGTTCTTGTTGTTGTTGATAATCATTTTATGGCATTCATTCAGTATTGGAGTGTCGTGATTTAAAGGCCCTTTATGTAAAGATATGCCTTTATTGTTGATACATGCTTTAGCTGTCAGGGTCATCCAAGTAGGGCGCATCGTACAAAAGACGTAAGGACTGCGCAGGTAAATATGGTCCCGAGCCTCAGGGGCCAACCTAGGGCGCGTTCATGCTTGATTTTGACGGCCAGAATCAGGCATCTGTTACGCGTTTAGTTTAAAACACGGTTGCGTCTTAGCTCACTTTTGTAGAATCACCGAAAAACGGCGATCACGATCGCCGATCGTAAACTCACAAAAAGATGCGTTTACAATTTGTAAACGCGTTTAAATGGGGTCAACGCACTGACCTCTAGTGGGTCTACGTAGCATGCACAGTGAAGGTTTGCGAATCCAGCTGGAAGACCAATTAAGGCCACACACGGAGAATTGCCTGGGGAGCCAGAGAAGTAAGCATGAACACTACATCGTGGAACTGCGATCACGATGAGCGTTTACGATGAGCGTTTCAGATCGCTCATTCTGCCTTCAAAATTTAAGCATGAACGCAGCCCTAGTCAAGCATTAGCTGCACTTCTAGGTTGTTACAATCATAGGAAAGGAATTTAGACAGTGGTTTCTTTTAGCCCTGAATTCACAAATGTTTGCAATGCATCAAGGCGAGACGACTCTGGAATTGAATGGAATTTTAAACATAGATCATTCAACAAATCTATTGTTAACGATCTCTGTATGATATTGTATGGTTTTTTGGATAAAGTAATTTGCATGCCCATATGTTTGGTGGTTTTACTGGTGGGAGTCGATCTCGACCGTGTATGTGGGAGTGCGAAAGGTTGATCATTTTAGAGCTTGATCTGAATGTTGAAATTAAATCTCCTCCTTTCAATTGGAGAGTACACTGTTCCATGCACCTTTCGGCAGTGAGAGACGACTCGCAGGACCAACAAGGCATTTGGAAAACAAATAGTCACACTGCTATAATTAGTTGCCGGGGAACTCTTCAATCGTTTCATTAGGCCCGTCTTCACTGTCTCGAGATTGCCAAATATCCAGCTATTTGAACTATCCCGATCGCAAACTATCCAGCTAATTTGCGTCTTCATGAGACCGAAGTAGCCAATTAGCTAGATAGTTGTTCGGGATAATATCCCAAGATATCTTGGGATAGTTTGTAAAATATCCAGCTATTTGTCCCGTGCGTCTTCACTAGACCAAGGATTCGCAATACACGCTAACGCTGAGCAAAATATCTCGAGCTAATTTCTCAAGGTCGAGTTTCGAGTTTCGAGGTTGAATCTCGAGATAGTGAAGACGCGATTTGTTACTTCGGGATTATTTCCCAAATAGCGGGCTATTTGGCAATCTCGAGATATTTGGCAATCTCAAGATGATGAAGACGCGCCTAAAGTGATGTTGATTGGTGCTTTGAATCTTTGACTAAGCCCGCTTGTTTGATCATGGACCTGGTTGGATGGAGTTTTTGAGGACATTCCAAACGACTTGTGATTATTTTGTTTTGTCCTAGGTTTTCTATTAAGCAAGGGTTATAGAGTGGTCGTGACTAACACTTTGTGGCTCTTCTATCAGTCTTTTTTTGTGTGACTAGTCCTGGAACTTCTTCAGCAAGACCCAAAAAACACTGGTGGCTGTTGCATGTTATCCCTGGACCTCTGGATAAAGCAGTAGTTTCATTGTGTGATCCTTTGTCTCTTGACTCAAATTTACCTGGATGACCTTAGTCCTAGAGGCTAGATCTAGACCAAGGACGACCAAAGACACTTTGTTAACATTCCATATTATCCCTAGACCTTTCGATCAAGCGGACTTGTGAGTACAACCCCTCCCCCCCAAAAGGATCAATCTGTGAATGTTATTTCTGATACCGGAGCCATTGGATTATATAAGCAACATCTGTAGGACTTGTGGACATCAGCGTTATTACAGTTTTTCTTTAAGTCCTGCAACAAACACATCTGCTATATGTACTGAGCAGGAATATTTGTACAGCCTTCATGATCCTTGTGGAATTACACCTGGAGTTGTGACATTGATCAAAGCCTATTGGACAAGGTACTAGCTAGGCCGTACTATATCTGGCTCCTTTCTGTCCTCGTGAGCTTGTGAGACTAGTTGGTCTCACCATGGCAACAACTCCAGTGATATCCTCAGTCAGTGGGGTAAGTACAGTAAGTCTTAGACAAAATTAGACAAAAAATAAGAATTTTGTGAATTAAAAAAATTGTACCGATAATCACTATACGTATACGGGCTTCATTGGCAATGTCAGTGCGACATAGTAGCACAGAGCTGCCAACCATTCCGTTCTTGCCGGAATTACTCCGTTTTTTCCTCCAAATTACGGTATTATGTTTTTTCTTTATAAAATATGTGTTTTTTTTAATTTTTTTAATTTTTATTTTTTTATTATTATTATTTTTTTTTTAAATTTTTTTTTTTACATACCACACGTCAAACAACTGTCCTAATATGGCGATTTGATCACAAATTCAATAGAAAACTAATTTTAAAACATACTTGAAGAAAAAAATATTCTCAAAAAGGATGAAATGCCGATAACCACCCAAAAAATTGCCTGCTTGTATGGAAAAAACAGCATGATGAATGAACGTTCTGCATTGGAAGTGTGTCACCCTTGTTTTTAAGTTTTGTTTTTATGTATTCCTTTTTTTTGCTTGAAATTCCTTTTTTTTGCCATCATGATTCCTTTTTTGGGTCGCACAAGGTTGGCAGCTCTGGTAGCATGCACCTTCCCCATTTGTTCCAACAACAAAAATTACAACAATGTAAGTTTTTGTTAAAATGTGTGACTTATTCTCTAATAATATGTTACCTATGATATACATTGTGAGTAGTCCCTAAAGTGAGAAGGTGCTTGGAGGAAAATGAATGTTATTTTTGTATCCGAGAAATGAGAGATTTGTCCGTGATTACGACGCAATCCACAGACCAAGTCAGGGAAAAAATTACTTTAAAAATTTTGAGGGCTACTTTTCAAGCTTGCATTGAACTCTATGCGCACGAGCCCCTGTGTATTTTTTCTCTGGACAAAGTTGCCAATTTGAGAAGGGCAGAGATGTAGTGATCTCATATTTCAAGCAAGGTTGAGTTGTCATGGTGTAGTGGTTTACTCACATGACTCTCAATCCGAGGGCTGAGGGTTCAAATCCCAGTCTGGGACCAACGTCTCTTGGCAAGACATTAATCCACATTTGCCGCTCTCCACCCAGGTGTTAATGGGTAATGGACAACCCCTGGAGTAATAATAATGATAGTAGGGCCCACAGGAAAAGCATTATCATTAATGATGTAGAAACTCCTGGTAAATAAAACCAATTATCATTATATGATCATTATTTCGCAACTCTCTAACCATAAGTCGGATTATTCTTTCTACTTCCGATAATATGTACACAAAAAATGTAAAGATACCATTCAAATAAACAAAAATATGTGTCAAACATGTTTATTCACTGATATCATTAATCATTGCTTTCAGTATATTTACGCCACCATATTCCTCTTTTAGTTCAATAATATTCCTAGTACACGCTTGTAGTCTACACTGAATGTAGATGTACATGTAGATGTGTAGAAATAGATTCTTTATTTTATTTCCTTGTGTGAGTTGTTTCAGCTTACATGTAAGCTTGTCCAGAATGGGTTTGTATAGGCGTAGGCTGTTGTTTGCACGCAGTTTGTTTGAATTCAATATTTTGTTTCTTTTTCAAATACGGAATTCCTGGGTACACAGTGTTAGTCTGTGGCCCCCAGACTTTAATGTAGATGAGTGGGGTCGAATGGTGGTCTGGAGTTGTAGACTAGACAGTTGGGAAAGGTGGGAGAGAAGGAGGGAGAGAGAGAGAGAGAGAGAGAGAGTGCGAGTGAGAAAAAGGGAAAGAGGGGAGAGTCTGTGAGAGAGAGGGGGAGTGAGAGAGAGAGAGGGGGGAGTGAGAGAGAGAGGGAGAGAGAGAGAGAGGGGGAGTGAGAGAGAGAGAGAGAGAGAGGAGAGAGAGAAAGAGAGATGGAGAGGAAAAAAACCGGAGAGAGAGAGAGAGAGAGAGCAAAACAGATGGAGAGCGAGGGGGGGGGGCGAGAGAAAGATATATATATATATATATATATATATAGGGAGAGAGAGAGATGGAGAGAGAGAGAGAGAGAGAGAGAAAGACAGAGATAGAGAGAAAGAGAGAGGGGAGGGGGGGGGGGGGCTATCAAGAAAGAGACAAAGGGACAGGGAATTGAGAGAGAGAGAGAGAGATAGTATGAAATAAATAGATTGAGAGGAAGACAAAGAGAGAGAGAGAGAGAGAGAGAGAGAGAGAGAGAGAGAGAGAGAGAGAGATTATTAACAGTAAAATAAAATCCATTTAAAACTGGTTCTATCTAGTAAACATAACATCCTTATTCAGATGACTTGCCACAAATTCTTCATAATGAATTGACAAAAGCCCTAGAATCTTTGAGATATCTTGTACAAACTTTTGCCAGGAAATATTTTTCTTTGGTTTCTGTAACATTGATTATTGTAACAGCTTTCCTATGCGTTATTAAAGATGAGATTGAGTTCTGGGAAAATTAGTTTTGAATCTTCTCATTTGTTATTCATTCTCATATTATTAGTTTCATGTTATGTGGAAGAAAATCAGAAATATAATTTCGCATGTAAAAGCTTCCTGCCTTCTACTTAAAATGGCTGCCAATTTGAGATCATAACTAGAAGTAGTAGAAGGAATTGAAACTTTGGACCAAATTTGGATGCTGTAAATAATAAATACATGAATGTAAGCCCATGTACTGAATGGTGATTTTTTTTAAAATCATAAAAATAAATAAAATAAGGCTCAAAACTCACTGTTTCAAATAGCACCTAAGGCCATTCCATGGTAGCTGCGACCATGAAAATCTTAGAATATGCAGTTCTGATATATAATTTCCAAACAAGACTAGCAAATCAGTTGATTTTAGTCAAGAAACATTGTTTTAAAGCTAAAGTAATATCAGTCTTGGGAGAGCGCTATACAACATTAAGATTTTATTATTTACAATTTCATCACTTTAAACTCGACAACGATCATTGAATATTGTAAAATTGCATACAGTATGCTTCCAATATGTTCATTTGAACCAAATTCATGACCCCATACCAAAACTTTGTATTACCTTTAAACTTGCCTGGGGAAACGGCATGAGCCGGATAATAGGACCAGAATAATCTAGAGATTGTATTTGATTCAGGAACTATCAGTTGGCGCTGATCCATGACAGAATAAAAAGAGAGATTAGAAAGTAGTCTACAGGCACAGACTACTCTGAACAAAAAAAATAACCACAATTCCTAAGGCCTTGATCAGAGCCTAGCTTGGTCAGTCTCTGACTGTGTCAAATATGAAAGTACAAAGCCTGTGCAGCATGGTAGAAATTATTTAATCAGTCATGGAGGCATGGAGTCACAACCCTACAGACATGGAGGCTCAGGGCGAATTTGCCCCCGAAATGCCCAAAAGAGCCCCCGAAAATCAGAAAAGAGCCCCTGTAAATTTGCATAGAGTTCAATGCAAAACAGATTTAAGAGTGTTATTTCTATGCAGGCAAGCTTGAAAAGTAGCCCCCCCGAAAAATAAATATTATTTTTTTCCCTGCAACCTTAACCTTGAGCCCTTTATCATAACCCAACCCCTAGCCCAAGATTTTCTCTATTGGACATGTATTTTGTCTCCCACAAGAAAGAAATGCCACAAAGAAAAAAATGCCACCTGTCTACAGTGACCATTTTCTCTGTTGCCCATGGATGGCCTTCCAGGCCTTAAATTAATCCAAGGCCACCAAGGCCATGGCCGTGGATGCCCCTTTGATTGGCCTCAATGCCCCTTTCATTGGCCTTGGAGAGTTTTTGTGCCCTTTTCAATGTTTCCTATTTGTGCTGTAATATAGGAATGTGCCCTACAGAAAAGTGGCCTTGCTCTAAAAATATTGAAATTTAAGGCCTGGCCTTCAGTAGGTTTGATAATATGTAAACCATGAGAATGGTTTGATACTGTGAGGTTTTTGGAATGATCAAAATGAAAAAAACTTCACTCAAACTTGCTAAAAATCATCTGCACAGCACTTGTAAGTTTAGTCAAACCTTTCCAGCTGCCACAACCATAAGATTGCTTGTGGTTTGAGTAAACTTAAGGCCCAACTGCACTGCTTATAACTACTTGCGCCCGCTATGTAGCAAACAATACCTAATCGGTGCCCGTTGGTCCCCCATGATCCCCTTTTTTTTCTTATGTTAATTGAGAGCTGATTTGATGAGATAACCACCTGTCAGTGACCTTGCGGGGAGGTCTAATCCCTCCTGGCCAGTAACCTTGCGGGGAGGTCTAATCCCTCCTGGCCAAACTAGTGCAGATGGGTTTTAAAGTTTCATAACTACGAGAACTACGGTCAGTAAACTAAAAATGACCTCAACTTTTAAACTCCAATCTAACCTTCATGTTTACTGACTGTTGTGTGACCCTACATGTAACTATTGTTCAAATGACCTTTGACCTGTGACATTGATCTGAGTGACCCAGAGAAAGAGGACGGATATGGTGGACATTTGGAGCAGATTTTTAAATGAATAATAAAAATTGATAATGGGTTTTTATCAATCTTGGAGACAAAGATATTGACACCAAGCTCGTTATAAAAAGCGAAAGTCTACCGTGGTATTGTCTGTCTGTTTGGAGCCTGAAGGGCGTTAACTCCAATACTTCAGTACAGACTTAACACCCTTCTGGCTCTGAACATGCACCGTTAAGTAGGCTCTCATCAGGAAGAAACAAAACAAAACAGAGAGGAATAGTAAGAGACAGAGAAGGAGAGAGAGAGAGAGAGAGAGATAGAGAGATAGATAGAGAGAGGGAGAGAGAGAGGGTGGGAGAGAGAGAGAGAGAGATAGGGAGGGAGATGGAGATCGAGAGAGAGAGAGAGGGGAGATTGAGAGAGAAAGAGAGAGAGAGAGAGAGAGAGAGGGAGCAGGAGAGGGAGAGGGAGAGAGAGATAGATTGAGAGAAAGAGAGAGAGGGAGAGAGAGGGAGAGAGAGAAAAGATCAACATTTCGATTTTATCTAGTAAGAAAGCATTGGGAAAGTTGAAACCAAGGTTAATTGATTGACCAGTTATG